TAACGCAGATTGTTGATAAATCGTCCACCAATCCTGACCCCACATTTCTCCTCATAGAGCCCAGCCTCCCGGATAATCTGTTCTGCATATAGGTTGAAGAGGTATTTATTATCATCTACAATTTACAGAGGAAAGTACAACTCTGAGAAAGCCATTCTCTTGCTCCAAGTCCACAGTCTAGAGGGCTGGGTTTAGTACTTGAACTCACCTTCAGGTGTCCCTCCTTTCTTCTTAGGGTCTCCTGATATTTCTGGGGATGAGGACCCAAGCCTTTAAAAACAACCATTTACAAACCCTTTCCTTCTTTGGCTCTGAGGAAGGCCAACTAGGAATCTGCCAGGGTGCGGCAGCATGACCCCAGTGGTGCCTGGCCATACCTGGGTCTGGATCACCCTCTTTCCTGGCAGCTATTCCCGCTGATGACCAACCTCTTCCCGGGCATGTCAGCAGATGAGGTGCTTGGCAGTCAGATGGGATGCCTGGCCAAGCTGCAGTTGAAGCGGATGCTGGAGAGCGATCAACAGTTTGACATCCCAAAAGGCATCATAGGGTAAGCTCCCTCAGTCATGGGTACAGGTCAGGGGTAAGAACTGGCTATGTTCCTCTGGCCTCGCTGCTTTGAGCCATTGTCCAGTCCCTGGGGGTGACAAGATGGGTCAAGGAGACAGTGCTGGAACTCCAGGCCACGGTTTGGCAGGTTGCTCAAGGAACGGGAATTAGAGCGTCAGAAGGCCCATGCCCTGCAGAAGGCATGGAAGCCAGAGCAGCCTTCCTCTGAAGAGCTGGAGACCACCAGCCAGGATCTGAAGGAAGTTCCAGAGAAAGAAGCTGAGGTCCTGGAGGAGACAGAGAAGGTGAGCCGGCCATACATCCTCACACAAGGCACAGGCTGACTTCCACGTGTGTAGCTCCCTCTCACATGTGACTTGGGCTGGTGATATCTTGCTAGAAGATATCTGTACTCTTTGAAATCATCCTGGGCATCCTCACTCAGGGAGTTGTTGAGGAGAACAAGCAGGAACTAGAACGCCAGTATAGAGTGGGGTTCCTGATACAGGTAGTAAAAGCAGCTCTGCCCACCCATCCCATCTAGCTTTTAAGACATCCCTCACTGAGCATGGCTGTAAAGCCCGGCAGACCCAGATTGAAAACCAAGCTTCTCTACTTGCTAGCTGAGTGGACTTGGCAAATAGCTTAAGCACTCAAGAGACTCAGTTTCCTGATCTGTGAAATGGCACTAACAATAGTTCCCTCCCAAATGATAGATAAAGGCATGTAAAACATGCAGAAGTTTTCTAGTTTCTAACCATTCACTGGAATACAATAATTTACAGTTTACATAAGCCAGCTCATATTAGGTGAATTGGTTGGGACTTTATTCATTTTGCAGATAGGGAAACTGAGGCCTAGTCAGCCCCTGGAATCTTGCCTATTTAGCCTGGCCACTCCCTTCCCTATATGGCCTTAGCGTCTCTCCATGCCCCACCTAGCCCTAACCCTGCAGGGGCTCTGAGCTTGTGGAAGGATTTGTTAAAGGGTCCCTGGGCTTCAGTCCTCCCCTGGCCCTGGCATCTCCCAGTGCCTGGACTACCTAGCCCATCTTCTGCTGCAGGAGGAGCCTGAGCAGTCCCCTGACAAGGAGACATCCCTATCCAGCAGCAACATCTACCCATCCTCCTCAAGCTCCATCTTGGACTGTAAGTCCCCCGTGCTCCTCCAAGACCAGAGGGAGCCAAAGCAGTGAGTGAGTGGGGCAAGGTTAGGGATTGGGCTTGGGTATGAATGGGCCCTGCTCCTTATAGCTGTGGCCTTGGTCAAGTCAGTAGTAATCCCATCTGGGCAGGATTTGTGGTGAGGAGTCATGTGAGGTGGTGACCAGAGCAGAATCTGAGATGCAAATAATCCTATAAAGGATTTCACAGAGGCTATTGACTCACCCCTCTTCCCTCATCCTGTCCCTGAAATAAGCCAATAAGCTTTGGTGTGTATTCAAGGGCTTTTATGCTCAACTCCATGAAGGATCAGCCTGGAAAGGACAATTCTAAAAGTTCCACGGACTTATAAGAGTGGAATGTGGTAGGCAAAAACGGCAGTGCCCTAGCCTCCTCCCTTCCATTCAGAGAATCCAGACTGTGAATGCTGCAGCTCACCTGGGGCCCATCACTAGCCACTGGATGAATGGCACGAGCTCCTAAGAGAACCTCTGGGTTCTCAAGGAAGGGAGGCACTCTAGGCACATTGGGAGTGATGCTGTAACCAGACTTATACAGGGTGCTGGGGGTGCATGAACCTCTTTGGAGGCTGTGGAGGGCTTCCAGGACTTGAAGTGTAGGGGTTAGCCAGTTGTGAGAGGGAGTGAGGCAAGGGGTAATGCTGTAGGCTGTGAATTCAGAGCAGGTGGGCTGTTAGCTACAGCGGGAATGCAGAGCACAAGGTGCAGCCTGCAAAGTTGACACCGGGCACTGGGCAAGCGGGACCTGGGTCCCTGACATTATCTCATCTTACAGCCCTAGCCCACTTCAGGTTCCCCGGAAGGCCCAGGCTAGTATGTTCTGACAGGTCTTCCCTTTTGGTTACACAAAGCTTTGACAGAGTAGGCAAGGATAAAGCTGAGGAACCCCCTTTCCATGGAGCTATCCAGGGGAAGCAGGAAAGGCCTTTAACTCTGGAAGAGGGCTGACGGTGCTCTTGGCATATTCTCCACAGACTTGGCCACATCCACCTCAGAGACGCAGACGTCCACAATCTGCCAGGAGTACAGGAGCACTTCGGCCACTGCTGTGACACTCTCTGACTCCTCAGTCAAGATTCAGTCCTCAGACTCAGAGATCAACATGGGAGACCAAAGTCTGAGCCACAGTACCAGCAGAATGACAGGTGCCCACGGTCAGCCCTGGAGCCTCAGTAAAGCCAAGGACTTCCAGCATCCACAGCAGAAGCTCAGTAAGACCAAAGACACCCATCATCCAAGACAGAGACCAAGAAAGGCTGAAGAGACTCAGAATATAAAGAAGACATTCAGCAAGACCGAGGACACCCAGGGCCCAAGGTGGAGACTCAGCAAAATAGAGGATGCCCAGGACCAAAGGTGGAGACCCAAGACAGAGGGCACCCAGGGACCAAGACGGAGGCCCAAGAGGGTCAAAGCTTCCCAGGGTAGGAGTTGGGGATCCAATAAGTTCCTCACCTATAGGCACACTAGGGCACTGGACCAAAGTTCCAGTAAGACCAAGGATTTCTGTGACCTGAATCAGACTTCCACCAAAACAGATGCTACCCAACATAGGAGCCAGAGGTTCAGCAAGGCTGAAGTTGACCAAATTAAGAAACAGAGGCCCAGCCAGGGTAAAAGTGTTCAGGACTGGAGCTGGGACCAAAGCTCAAGTCTCGACCAGATGGAGGTTTTCTGTGCCATGAGTCAGAAGCCCAGCAAAGTTGACACTGCCCAGGACCAAAGCCAGAGACTCGATATACCCAAATCTGTCCAAAGCTTGAGGCTGAGACTCAGTAAGGATGAGAGTACTCAAGACTGGAGGCAGCCATCAAGTCCAAGACCCTGCAAGATCAAGGGGGTCCAGGACACAAGCCAGAGTTGCAGTAAGACAGAGGCTGGGCTAGGTGTAAGCCCGTATCCCTGGAAGACTGAGTCCACCCAGAGCTGGAGCCAGGAGTCAAGGCTTAGCCTCAGCAAGACTGAGTCTATCTGGGGACCAAGCCCGAATCCCAGCAAGAGTGTGTACAGCTGGAAACAGAGCTCTAGTGCTATCAAAGGACTGAGCCAGAGTCCCAGCAACACCATGGCTGACCAAGACCCTGGCCCCAGCCAGAATCCTGCTCCCTGAGAGGACCACTAGCCCCCATGCTACCTGCTAGAGAAGAGAGAGATTCTGCCACACACGCTGAAACCCACCCCCTCAGTGAAGCTGTAGCCTCTTAAAGGGGTTAGAAACCTCAGCCAATACTTCTCTGGTTCCAAGGTTACATTTATTTTACATGTTCTCTTTTTCTGTAAAATTAAACACTTTAAAACCAGGTCCAAGTGAGCATTTAGTTTTGTGTCCCTTTATGTGTGGAAATGAAGAAATCCCAGCCTGGCTCCATGATAATGAATACAGGGTACAGAAGTATCAGCCATTACAAAGGCCAAGGGTAAATAAACCCAGGAGGGAGGGCTTAGCCACAAGCCACAGCCCCTGAGTTATAATTCACATTTTAAGAAGGCTCAGGCTAGAGGCAGAGGTCAAGGCTGAGTGAGGTTGTGAGTTGATCAGAGGTTTGCCTACGAAAGGCAGCAGAGGCCATGATGCCCTCAGACCAGTTAAGAGCCAGGGCCTACCCTATAGCCCCAGGCTGTGATTTGGCCAACACCCTTCTTCATCTTCACTGTCTGCGTTCTGGGCCCCACACTCCAAGAGGCTTGAAACAAAGGTCCTTCTGCCAGAGGTCCTGGGGCTTCCCCAGCCGGCCTAGCTGGGCAGGGAGAAGCAAAGAGTCCACCCTGGGGTGTCAGAGGAAGAAGGAGATCCGAGAGGCCACTGTCTTGCAGCCATTGGAGGAGAAGAGCTGCTCATCATCAGGGAAGAAAGTGGTACTGTCCAGCACAGCCTGGATGACCTCCTCCCTCGGCTCTAGGTCCAGCTGGGCCAGCTCATTGAGTACGCAGTGGCGCACATGATGCCGCTGGAGCGGAAGGAAGGGGATCACAGCGTCCAGGAGATGCTCCTCCATGATGCCTGAGCGCCAGAAGCCATCTGCAGGAAGGGACAGAGAGAGAAGGTCCTTCATGTCGTAGGCGGGGAGAAGCCTCAGTCCCCCACCTCTAAGGGGTAGTAGAGGTATGATGCTGGCCCTCTCTGCCAGATTTCAGGGGTAAAGGCGTAGAGGTTTGTGTGACTTGCCCAAGGTCACAGAGTGGCATGCTGAAGACTGGATGCTCTACACTACCTGGTTAGTGAGCAACGGGTGACCCTGGGATCAGCTTGGCCTGGTGGTCTGGGAGGAAACCCCAGGCTGACTGAAGTGGCCCCCGGGATGGGGCTCCAGGTTGGACTCACGGTGCGGGTTGTCCAGCACAGCCCGGGAGATGGCCGGTTCCAGCTCCTGCAGGCGAATCTCCTCCCGGTCCCGTCGGCTGCGCCATGCCTCTAGCACCACCTGGTTGATCTGCTCCCCGCCAGTGTTGCTAAAATGTGGGGACCAGGCCGAGACTCAGACTGAGACCAATAGGGCATAAGATTTAGCCCTCAGTGCCCAGGTGCTATATCAACACAGCCTGAGCCTATCCTGTGTATATAACCACAATCATTGTAACCCACCTACATGAGCCCTGCACTTTACAAAAACACCTTAATAATGGCCCTGTGGTTCAGAAGGGTAAACTAAAGCTGACAGAGAAATGAAGTAATTTGCCTGAGGAAACAGACAGGTGGGACTAGAATTCCTGTCCTGCTTTTCTCAGACCAGTGTCCTCTCCTAGTCACAAAAAGAGGGAAAACTCTGACCTAGCAGAGCAGTGTGAGAATCAGTCCACCATGAAGGACAAAGCTACCAGCAAGTGGATATAGGACTGGGGAGGCATAATGGGGCTCAGGAGGAGTAGTATCTCCATCATGGCCAAGAACAAATAGTTGGGACTTAAAAGAAGTCTCCTTAACCATGCCCCTGCAAAGCTGGACCTCACCTGATGAAGATGAAGATGGCTTTTCGATAGTTGGTCCCATATACAACCCAGGAGGAGCCCAGGAAAGGTCGAAGGACTTCCATTAGGCCTGGGGGTAGCTTGTCCATCTCGTCAAAGAGAAAGAGAGAGCGGCCGCAGGCAGTGAGGTTTCCCTGGACCCAGCTCTTAAGATCCTTCTGTAAAGTAGAAGTAGGAGTTCAAGGAGGGCTGGTCACACTACTCCAACTTCTTCCCAAGGCAATAAAGGACCTTTCACAAAAAGCTAAGGTCTTTCAGAAAGTATCATCTTCTTAATGGGATTGGTGGTGAAATGGTAGCCTCAAGAGGGGCAGGAACTTGCCCAAGGTCACACCAGTGAGCCAGCAGGATCCCTGAGTTCAAACTTAGGCTCCTCCCTCCCTATTCAAGGCTCCTCCCAAGGCACCTATTGTTTCCTATTGTTTCCCTGCTCTGAGAACCTTCCAACAGTGCTGACAGCTGAGAAAGATGCGCCTGGGACGTGCAGGATGATCAACAAGCGGAAAAAAAAAAAACCCAACAAAACCAACACTCACTCCCACTGAGTCAGAACCAAAGCTGAACCCCCAGGTGGTTTTCAGAGGCTGTAAATAACTCAGGAAGATCACCCATCTTTCTCCTGTGGAGCAGGATTTGAACCACCTGCTTTTGGGTTACCCACTAGGCCACCAGAGCTCCTTAAGAGTTGTTGTTATTGTTGTTGTTGTTGCTGTTGCATGCCATCAAGTTGGAACAGACTCATAGCTGACCCTGTGACCGGAAGAAGATTGCCCATCTTTCTCTTTGTGGATCAGCTGGTGGATTTGAGCATGAGCCTCTAAGATTGCAGCATGGCTTCTTACATCCAGGCCACCAGAGCTCCTCCAAGAGTAGGAGCCAATATTTAATATCAACTGAGTGTTTACTGAGCCACAACAGGGCCAAGTAAGTAACTTAACTCATTGCTGTCAAATCAAAACTAAACTACAGCTGAGCTTCCAACAGGTTTCCAAGGCAGTAAACCACAATGGGGGAGACTGTATCTTTCTCCCTCAAAACCACTGCCGTTGATTCCCTATGGACTGCTCCACCAGAGCTCTCAAAGTAACTTGCAGCGAGAGGATAATGCAAACTGTTTGGCAAATCTAAGTGTTCAATGTCCGATGCAATTCTATAATCACATGTCCCTCACACCACTGCCAGGTAGATACCATAAATGCCCTGAAGAAAACACAGCTCAAACACCCTGACAGAATGAATGGCACCATCTCCAGCCCTGCTCAGGATAGGTCCTGAATGTGGAGCTTCCAGCTGGCCCAATGCAAGAAGCTTGCTTCCGCTTCCTCTGCTCTGAACTCACTCCAAAGGGACTGCAACCCCACAGAAGGGGCAACTGGTGGTCCCTGACTTGCCACCTACCTTGTAGCGCTCGATGTGGCTGGGGTGGGGGAAGTGGATAACAGGGGAAAAGTGGTGCACGTGGGGGCTGCGAAGGCCACCCCGAAAGAGGTACTCCGCCAGCAGGGAGCTGACATAGGACTTGCCGGTGCCCGTCCAGCCATGCAGGGAGAGGACCAGCGGCTTGGTAGGTGCAGGGTCGTGCACGAAGGTCTTCAGCGCCTTCAGCACCAGCACCTTGGCTAGGTGCTGGCCCGCCAGGTGCTGGGCTAGATCACACTCCAGACCTAGAGTTACAGAAGGAAAGCGTCAGAGCCAGGGACACATTCCCACCAAGAGAGTTTTCAAGCGACAGTTTGCTCTCTGGATGTTTTACAAGCTGTCCAGGGAGCCGGGTCCGCCAGGCCTCTGGCTGCAGAAAACACCTTCAAGCTTGGCTCAGCCTGGCAGCGCCTCCACCAGGTGGCCCTTCAGATTACATGCAGCCCTAGGGTTCCTGATATCCACAGAGGGGCCTACCGAGCCCTGTCCATCTGCAAGACAGGTGAGTCTTGGGACCCACAAGGCTCTGCTGTCAAAGACTTCTCTGGCACTAGTGTACCAATAAACCATCACCAGCCCCTCACCCGAGGCCCAGCGTCCAAGGCTCTCCGGTTTCTTCAACGCCGGGCCCATTTCTGGCCCTGGCTGTTCCGACATCTGGGGATCCTGCCCCTGGTTCCATTCTTGGGTTCGAGTGTTCAGGGTCTACCAGCCCCTCAAGCCCCGTACTCTTGTGGCTCCTTACCCTGAAAGTCGGGCCGGAAGTCGCACTCGCAGAAGTCGCCGAAGTTACAGCGCAGCGAAGCCAGGTTCCACGCGGCGGTCGCCGTCGAGACCAACCCGAAAAGCCCGAGGAACGCGCCCCAAGGCCAGCAGACACGCGTCACAGTCGCCATCCAGGCGCACCCCAAATGAGCCTGGGGCCACCAACAGCCTCCCTACAAAACTACAACTCCCAGCATGCACTTCTCAGTGGAAGTTACGGTCAATAGCCTACAACTCCCGGCTTTCCCTTCACCCATCTTTTTTTTTTTTTTTTTTTTTTTTTTATTTTTGTGTGAGTGTACCGTCAAATCAGATCTGACTGGTACAGAGCATCTGGTGGATTCGAACCGTGTGCCTCTGGGATTGTAGTTGCAGCTCCTTGCCACTAGGCCACCAGAGCTCCCCTTCCTTCACCCATCTTAAAAAGGCCGCCCCTCAGTCCCGCAGCAGGACTGAAGGCGGCCTCCAGGGGGAGGCCATGAGCCATCCAACCAGGGTGGCGGGCCGCGTTTCCATAGGCACGGTAACTAGGTGACCAGCACTCCTACAGAAAGAATAAAGCCTTACAAAATAAAAATCCCTCAAACCGTCAACCTCATTGAGAGCCGCTGGTGGGTTCGAATCGCTAGAAAGGCATGGAGAGTTGCTCTGTGAATCCAAAGGCCATGCCATTTATTGCTCCCCAACTCAGATTGCCACATCTTTCACCCACTGAGCGGCTGATGGGTTCGAACACGCAGCCTTTTGGTTACTCCGAGAACTCGGAACCACCAGAGCTCCTTTCTGATCTCAAAAAGGAGCTCAGCGGGGGGAAAGAGGTGGCAATCTGTTTTCCGAAAGATTCGAGGCCTGGAAACACTTTTACTCTGTCCTACAGTGTCACTGTAAGTTGGAGTCAAAGGCAGTGAGTTTAGGACCAGAAAGAGTGATGTACCAATTAAAAAGAAAACCTTGGCTGCATCTTTGGCCTTGCAAAGCAGCTTTTCCATGTTTTGTTTGTTTGTTTGTTTTTTCCTAACTAAAGAATACTCGTAGTTTTTGGTGAGCACCTATGTGTCATTGTTCTTGTTTGTTATTGTGAGCCCTCGAGTCAGAACCAACCCATAGCTGACCCTCCAGCGTGTTTTCAGAGGCAGTAAATTGCATGAGAGGATATTGCTCATCCTCCTCTGTGGAGTGGCTGGTGGGTTCAAACTACTTGCCTTTGGGATTGCAAAGCACTAGGCCACCAAAGCTCCCTATGTGCTTTTGTTGTTAGATGCTGTCAAGCCAAGTACAAGTCATAGAGACCCTATAAACAATAGATCTGACTGAATTGTCTCATATTCTGTGCCATTCTCACTATCTCTTATACACTTGAGCCCTTCACAGCAGTCATTATGTCAATTCATCTCTTTGGGATTCTTTCTCTCTTTCACTGATTCTCCATTTTTCCAAGCATGATGTCCCTTTCCAATGAATAGCCTCACCTAGCTACACATCCAAATTATGAAAGATGAAGCTTTGCCTCCAACAAGCACTCTGTCTGCACTGTCTCCAAGACGTATCTGTTTGTTCCTTTGGCAGTCCATGGGATGGATAGTCAGTCTCTTTTCCAGCATATAATTCAAAGGCATCAATTCTTCTGTCATCCTTATTCATTGTCCAGTTCTCTGGTGCATAGCGGGTAATTGAGTCAGGGGCACTTTAGTCTTCAAACTGATATCATTGCTCTTCAGCATCTTGGAGCTGTTCCTGACAGTAGACTTGCCCAACGCAGTGAGAATCCTGATATGTTGACTACTGATACCAAGAGTGTTGATTGTTGGTCAAAGCAAGATTAAATCACCGGCAGCTTCAATCCTTTCTTCATCTATCATGATATCAACTATTGGTCCTGTGGGAGGACCTTTGTATGTGTTATTAGTGAAGTCCATTCCCTACTCCTGGCAGGCCCAAGTGTACAGAGTAGAAATGCAGGCAATAGCGTCTTCAGATTTGTCACGTTTGGGAATTGGATCATCAGGCCTGACTTCTGAGGCAACTCTGAGTTAGTTCAAGCTGCCAACATTTTGGCTAAGAGTCCAGCGCTCCAGCACTTAACTGTTTGCACCTCCCAGAAACTCCACTGTTGGTGTTAGATGCTTTATTAATCTTATGATAATCATTTATACTCATTGCTGTTGAATCAGAGCCAACTCAGCCGATACTCCAGTGTGTTTTCAGAGGCTGTAAATAGGGAGGGAGAAGATTGCCCATGTTTCTCCCGAAGGGCAGCTAGTGGATTCAAACCAGCCAATTTCAGATTAGTGACACAACTTCCTAAGGACTAGTAGTCAGAGCTCCCTACGGGTATAGCACTAGGTGAGAATTTCTGAGGTGATAATTTCTTATGATAAGAGCAACTACAATAGAAATAGCGCTACTGAAAATGTGATAGATACATAAAGTGTTTTAGTTCAAAAGACAATCAATAGAAGATCATTACCAATCCATTATGTATGAAAAATGGCTGTCCTTTACATAGTGGCAACCATGTGCTAAGTGCTTTAAAATCAATCCTAGTAGATAAGGTCTGTTACTGTCACCATTTTACTGAGAAAATTGAGTGTCTAAAAGGTTAAATATCTTACCCAAAGTCACTCTGCTAATAAACCAAAAAGTTGAACCTGAGTCTGGCTCCCACCAGAGATTTAATATACTAAGTTATATATTATCTAGCTTATCCTTTATTCAGAAACAAAGGACTCTAGGTATTTGAAATATTTTAAATTCAGTGAGTGCATTACCCAGGCCTCTAGCCTGTCTTGGAATTGTGTTAATCTAAAATACCTTCTTCCCTTACTCCCTTACCCAGGGAAGTGAGAAAACAAAGACAATTGGCTTCAAGGTCCACCTTAGAAATTCTCATCAACCTCATCCCTGTAATATCTCTCTCTCTCTCTCTCTCACACACACACACACACACACACACACACACACACACACACACACACTTCTGGGTCTACATTTCAAAGACTCGAATGCCATTAAAAGTTTCTGCTGGATTGAAAAACTATTAATGATTTCATCTTTCTGGGATCCACAACCAATACCTTTAAAACCTGTCAGGGATCTCTCCAAAATATTAAAAAGCAATGATGTGAATTTGAAGACAACAGTGTGCCTGATTCAGGCCATGGTCTTTACAATTATCTGCTATGCACCTGAGAGCTGGACAATGAGGAACTATTACATAAGAACTGATTCTTTGAGTTGTGGTATTGGAGAAGAATAATGAACATTCCATGGATTGTCAAAAAAACAAACAGATATGTCTTGGAAAAGGAGTAACTAGAGTGCTCCTCAGAGGCAAAGATGGCCAAGTTTCATCTCTCATACTTTGGGCATGTTGCTAGGAGAGGCTATTCTTTGGAAAAGAACATAACATCAAGCTTAGAAAAGTGGAGGATCGACAAAAGAGAGGGAGATTTTCATCAAGTTGGATTGACACAGTGACTGTAGCAATGGGCTCAAGTGTATGATGATGACAATGGCACAGAACAGGACAAGATTCAGATCTATTGTTCCTAGGATCACTGTGAATCATACTCAATTCAATGGCACCAAATAACAACTGTTGAGGTCTATTGAGGTAGTTTTTGTTTTGTGTGACCTGGAAAAAGTCCTTTATCCCTCCAGGCCTCAGTTTTCAAAGAGACAGCCACCCCCAAATACCTCAGATCCTTGGCTACGTGTTTGTGGAAAGCATTGCTACGGCTCTCAAGGCAGGAAATTGGTTAAGAGTGAGGGCCTGATCAGCACTCTCCCACTGGGTTGAAATTAGCTGTTTAATCTCCAAAGCTGGTTGACTGACAATGAGCTACTACTTGAGGGCAGGAACTGGGTTTTAGTATTTGCTGTAATCTTGGATCTTGGTGCAACCGGAAATGTTCCAGGTACCAAATACCTGTTGAAAGAATATTTCTACTTTTCACCTCAGAAAAGGTACTTCCTGGTGAGCTCTGGTGGCCTAGTGGCAAGAAGATGCACTGCAATCCCAGAGGTGCATGGTTCAAATCCATCAGATGCTCTGCTGGAGAAGGAAGAACAATCTCCTCCTGTACCTATCAAATCTGATTTGACGGTACACACACACGAAAAAAAGAATAAAATGTAAAAAAAGAAAAGGTACTTCCTTCTATCCCAGGCCCCGTGAGAGACAGAAGAAAGAGTCATAAAAGTTTTATTATATGAAAGAAAAACATGACTTCTGTACATTATTTACAGAACAGAAAGCTATTTACAGCAAGATGGAGGCCTTGGTGGTGGTGCGGGGGATGAGGGAGCAGATGCCTGGAGAGATGTGAGAAGATGTAAGGAGCCTCCTGTAGATCAAAGACTGGGAACCTGGCAGGAAGGGGAGAAGCAGGGGGTCTGGTTCTTCCTGAAAGGAGACTCAATGAACTTGTAGATGAGACAGCAGAGCCCAGTGTCCATGCAGGGCCCTGGAGGAGAAAGAAATGTCCTAGAGTTGAACCCAGAGCATTCTCGGGCTGGTCACAGTGTCCAGGTGAGTGCTGTGAAAGTCAGTGCCCCTCTCTGCCCCAGGTTCTTCCTGTAGCTGCAGAGGGGGAATGTTGCTGGAGGTCACAGCTCACTGGAGCGGACAGCAGGCTCCAGTTTGTGAGACAGTGCAGAGAGGACCTTGTCAAATTTCTCATAGCGTCGGGCCTGGCTGCTGCTGGCACCCTGGCTGCCCCAGAGGAGACGCATCTGGAATTCAGTGCTGAACACCTCCAGGAGCTCTGGTCTGGCTTGAAATCCTGCAGGACAAAGGCACGAGATCATGAGATCACTGTCATTCTGCCTTGAGCTACTGTATCTCTTGGGCCCTACAATGAGGGACCTCCTCTCAGCTCTCAAAGTTCCCACAAAGTTTGTTGAATGTACATAGCACCCACACGCTGATCTGACATTGCAGCAGTAACACTCTCAGCTGCTAACCTAAAGGGTGATACTGACAGAGAACAGCAAAGGAAATGCCAGCAAAAGAAATCAATCAGAAACTGTTCTGGACAATGATGTATGACTATGGCAAATGAACTCAAAAATAACAGACCCATCCAAAAAGAAAAGAAGGTAGCAGAAGAGCAGACCACCCAAAGGTCACCATAAATCCATCAGAAGCTGTGCCCTGAATGAATTAATCAAAAGGTGTATAAACTCAACTCTCCACTAGAAAAGATAATATAAGCTATAGATGCAGGTCAGTTCTATTCTAACTGGTTCATAGTCTCTTATAAGCATCTAATAAACCTCTCTTTCTTTCCCTTTCTCTGGCTCCATGTCTTTTTGTGGTGATGTCCTATCACAGTTTCAAACTTAAGTCAGAACTTCCTAGTTCTTACTTGAAGAGACCCCGGACCTCTTTGGAAATCATCCCCTTGACATTACCTTGACTTCACCACTCATTCCCCAGGGTGGCTAGTCTGTGGGGAGTTGCACTGATAACCCAATGGCTGTGCCTCTCTGGTGGTTCAAATCCATTAACAATGCCATGGGGGAGAAGGACAATCTCCTCACGTGATTTACAGTCTCAGAAATCCACTAGACAGTCAGATATGAGTCAGTTCTGGCTTAATGGCAATGAACTTGAGTCTTTTTTTTAGGTTATTATTTTTGTTTTTGTTTTGTTTTGTTTTTTCCACAAGGAGAAAAGACTTGGTGATCTGCTCCTGTAGAGATTATAGCGTAGGAGACATGATGGGGAAGTTCTACTCTATCCAATAGAGTCGTCAGGAGTGGGAACCAATGGTAATCCAATAGCAAAGGGTTCAGTCTCATTCCGGTCTTCTCTGACCTGTTACTCATATAATTTTTAAATTTACTGGATGTATAGTGGACCCTCCAGTGGGTTTTCAAAGGCTATGAGTCACATGGGAGATTGCCCATTTTTCTCCTGCAGAGCAGCTGGTGGATTTGAACTGGCCACTTTTAGATTGGCAATAAAGCTCCTTACTCATTAGGCCATCTGAGCTTCCTTAAAATGATTAAGAAATGCTCCCACATAGATCAGTGTCACCAACCTGTAAGCCTATGGAACTAACATGTCCAGATTCTTTGGGGGTGGGGGTGGGTTGGGAGAAAAGAGTTCTTTAAATTGATTCAATTGATTAAACTATATCAAATTCACTTTAGGTTTCCTCAGATTAGAAAATAGGATTTCCTTGCCCAGTGTTAACTCTGTTATAACCAGTTAGATAAATGTGGTCTCAAGTCTTCATCAAAATCACTGAGAAAATCCCAAAGTTTGACACATTTTCTCCAAAGAAACAAAAGCAAAGACTAAATTGGGTAAAGCTCTTTGTCCGTTTTTATATCATATTTATGTTGAATGGTTCATGCTTCAGCCAGACTTATTGTTAATGATGGCTATGTTTTTATGTATAAATTTTCTTCTCTTAAAATAATAAATCAATCTATATTTTTTGGGAAAAATTATTAGGAAATGAAATACTAACGTTGATCATCTTTCCAAGATGGTGGGTGATTTGTCATTGCTTTATCAAACTTTCCTATGAGTTATAGATTTCTTTCTTAAAAACAGGGAGCTTTGAAAACAAAAACAAAACAGGGAGCTTTGGTGGTCTAGTGAGTAGAGTTTCACTGCTAATCTGAAGGTAGCACCTCTCTAGTGGTTCAAATCCACCAATGGCTTCCTGCAATAAAGATGGCACTTGTGTGATTTGCAGCCTCTGAAAACCCAGTGGTGGGTCAGCTATGAATGAGTTCCAACTCAAAAGTAATAAGAGAAAATGAGAGGGCAGAAAATTATATATAATTGTATGGTATAATTAAATGGAAAAATAGAATTCTGAAAAGAGAAAGCAGAAAAAAATGTACACCACAACATTCACAGCATTTACAATTACACTGTGAGTAGTTTTAAAAATCTTATTTGTTTAGCTGTAATTTCCAATTTGTCCACAGTGAATTTTATTACTTAAGTCTTACATGAGACAAAAAAAAAAGATTAGCTGAAGCCACCTTGTCTCTCCCTGATTCTTTCATGAGGAGAAGTTTTGCTTTTCAACTAGACTGTGAGATGCATTAGGCAGGATCTGGGCCCGGGCCAAAGTGCTTTGCATACAACCTTGCAAAGTAAATTTGTTAAAATGCCACTTCACAGATAAGGAAACGGCCCACTTCACAGATAAAGAAACTGAGGTTCAGAGAAACTAAGATACAACAGAGGTGCTCTTTGAATATTCTGAGTCCGCCTACCCCATTAATACATTCTTCTTGGACGAATAAATAAGTAAATGAAGAGAAAAGATGAAAAAAAAGGGAACAGGAGACAAGACTTGGAAGAAAAGGATGGGGAGAACTGAGTGGATATTTTGAGGAAAAGCAAACAGTAAGGGCCAGGCCACAGGCTCAGTGACCATCTACCCCCACTTCCTGCTCCTTGCCAAATGTGACTTGGCACTTACCCTGCAGCTTGACCTCAGCGTTGGTGTGGTACAGGCCTCCATGATGTGCCACCGTGCGGGCGGCCTCCAGATGGGCCAGCACCACCTCCACACCATGCTCCGTGCTGCCCCAGGGCTCAGGTCCCTCTGCTGGGGCTGAGTCACACTCCAACAGTGTGATGAGTGGCAGAACATGAGGAAATGTGGTGTTGCTCAGCGGTGGGCCTTCTGCAAGGAGGGAGACAGCAGGCACTCAGAGACCCTCAAGGACCCCAGAATTCACTGTAGTCTTGGAAACTAGGGTACAGGAGAAGAAGGGGCCCTCGTGAGGTCCCAGAGAGATCCAACTGGGATAAATTCTATTCTTCACAGTCTACCAGTTGAACCCATGGTCCCTAGTCACTCCTGCAGGCTTGGCCCACCTCTGTTTACAGTTTACACATCTGACAGACACCAAGAGCTATGGGAGACTATAATGCACAGAGCTCAGTCAATCCCTCATGGTCCACACTTGGGGGAGTCTCTGCTGGCACAAGAGGTCTGGAACCTGTCAAAGGTCACAAACAAAGTTGGAGAGATACCTTTGCCCTCATTGAGGCTCTTGAGAAATGGCTTGAGCTTCTTCTCATACAGAATGGCGCCCTCTGTATGCCGCTGCCTCAGGGTCACCCATGTCTGTTCCAGCCGGGTGATCTGGAGAGAGCAGACTGTGAGCATCCAGCCAGGAAGAGGCCGCAGGGCCACTGACCCTCCGCTGAGCAGAAAGCCAGCATGTGAATCACACATCATTCCTACACAAATCTAACTGCTTTTTTACGTATCTCATGAAGCACTTCAAATAATGCATTTTACAGATGAGGAAACAAAGGTTCATGGGAATGTCTTAGCTTGCCCAAAGTCATTCAGAAAATATGAACTGGGAGCTGAACTCAGAACACTGCCTCTGGAATCCAATTGTTATCTATTTAGGAGAGGAGAGTCAGTATAGTGTGGCTAAGATTCCAGCTCAGATAAAACACTCGATCCAATGCTCTTTCAGCCACGTCCTGTGGCCTTAGGCAGGTTACTGTTATCTCAGTTTCTTCATAAATAAGATGGGTATTCATCTGCCTCATAAATTGTTTGGAGAAATCAGTGCTTATATAAAATGTTTTGTGTAGCAGTTTTTGTTATTGTTGTTTTGTGTCATAGAGTTAGAACTGATCCATAGTTGACACCCTGTCCGAGGCAGTAAATCGCAAAAGAGATTATTCATCCTTCTCCTGCAGAGCAACCTGTGGATTTGAACCGTGTGCCTTTGGGATTGCAGTGTAGCTTCTTACCACTAGGCCATCACCTAGCACAGGGTAAGAGCCATTTTATTTTTTCAAACTCATACTAGGCCTCATTCGTTTTACAAATAGGGAAACAGCGTCAAAGAGGAAGAGCTTAGTCACCCTGTCAGGGCAGGCCAGCAGCAGGACAACTCAGCCACCCCGCTGCCCTTTCATCAACAATGCTAAAAAAATTGGAGTTCTTCACAAAATTATATACAGCTACGACAGGGGTGCATCCCAGGGCTGCTGGAGACAGTCTTTGGCTGCTGTCTTTGTGCTTCTCCGTACCTGCGCCATGTCCAGAGCGCCCATGACTGCAGCGAAGCTAAACATGTTGCCCATGGTCCCCCGCAGCTCTGCCGCCAGCTGGATGGTCTTGTGCAGGAGTGCAGCCCGCTCCTCTGCTGAGCCCGTACAGCCTAAGATGTCCACGGCCAGCATGATGGACATAGTGTGGAACCTGTCAGATAGGCGAGTTAGGCGGGGCGGGGAAGGGTCTGCCCCTCCTGGTCCACCGACAGGATGAGCAAAAAAAAAATCGAGAGGTTGTGATGGGTGAGTGAGATTTGGGGGCAGGGACGGAGTGATGACTTAAGGACTTAGGATTGGTCTGTAAGAGTCAGAGGCGGGGCCAGAACTTCCCGGGAATCTTCTGAATGAAAGGCTGTGATTCTCAGTGGAATTGAGCAGGCAGAGCTGTTTAAGAATGAACGTGGACTGGAGTGCCAAGGCTAAAAGGCGAAATACCACCGGTACTGGTCGCATGAGGCACCTAAAGATCGTTTACCGCAGATTCAGGCATGGATTCCGTGAAGGAACAACACCGAAACCCAAACGGGCAGCTGTTGCAGCATCCAGTTCATCTTAAGAATTCCACTGTTTAGTTATGCAATAAATGTTCTGGTATTATAATAAAAAAAGAAAAAAAAAAGAATGAACGTGGAGAACACAGGCTGAGCGGCGGGGTCATGATTGTGTGCTGTGATTGGTCAAGAGGATGGGGAAAAAAATGAATAACCCGATAAACGACATAGACTCTGGGAAACTCAGGTCGCCAAGAGCTGGATATTGGAAAGTTACGATTGGACAGAGGACATAAGGGGCGTGGCCAGTGAAGTTGTGTTTTGGCCGACCAATCACAAGCAAAGGGAGTGAGGTAGGCGGGAGGGGGGAAGGAGGGAGGGACTTCCTTACAATTCCCCAAGTGCTGAACTTGCTTACCTTTCCAGCAGGTCTAATCGTAGCTGCCGACCATGTGGGAGAGTGAGCAGCTCCATGCCCCAGCGGACTCCCATTAGGGTCTGCATCTCCTTGGTAACGCCCAGTATCCTAGCAACCTGCAAGGATGCCCAGAGGGCTGATTAATTTTCTGTCAGGGATGGCTCAAGCCATCTGGGAGCCACTAGTTTACCGACTTGTAGCTGACCCTCCCCACCCGGGTTTCCGAGGCTGTAAATCGAACTGGAGGCGATTGCCTACTTCTGCCGTGGAGCCACTGATGGATTCGAACAGCCAAAGAGCTGTCTCAGCCTATCAGAGCTCCTTCTGGAAGTCACAGATCTTTATTTTGGAGGACAACCTGAAGACTGGATTTAAATTCCACCTTTGCTGAATAATCCTCTGACAGGTGAATGTACCTGTCTGAATGAGGCTCAGTTTCTCCACCTGTGAAATGGGAAATACCCAGAGGTACTTAACAAGTTAAATACTCAATTAAGATTAAAGGGCCAGGCAGACCGGAAGCTCAGGAAGAGGAAAGGAGCAGCTTAGCTTCTTTTCTTGCTTCCAGGTTTTGAGGCCAATGAAACCTGATGGCGCAGTCCACAGGGATTTGCTGTGAGAACCCAAAGGTGGCACCTCTCTGGTGGTTCGAATCCACATGCACTTTGTAGAAGATAAATGGGCAAACTCCTCCCTTGCTATTTAAAATCTTTGAAAAATCCACTGGAGGGTCATCCATGGGAGTTCTGACTCGACAACAAATATTAGTTATGTATTCTCGCTTCCAGACTCTGTGGCCAATGAGACCAGGAAATAAGCACCCCCACGCTACAAAAGGAGAAGTGAGGCACAGAGAGAGAGTTGGCATCCTTAAATGATCAAGAACTCACAAAACAAAGTTTTTATAGACCAAGGTAATGAGTTTTTTCTTCTTTTTCCACTAGGGGGCCTAAGCGCGCTTTTCTGTTCTTCGGACCAGTCTGCTTTTCTCTAAACAGGCTCAATCTGGGGTAACCAGAAAAGTGCCTTAGTAGGTCCAGTGCCAAACTGACATCTGGAAGAAGCAAGGATGTTTTCGTTTTGCTTTTTAAAAGGAGAAAATGAAGGGAGCTCTGGTGCCCTAGTGGCAAGAAGCTGCGCTGCAATCCCAATGGTTAGAATCCACAAGATGCTCTGCTGGAGACGGAGGGGCAATCTCCTCCTCTGCCAATAGGATCCATTTCGACAGTACACAACAAGAAACAAAACAAAACAACATGTAAAAGGAGAAAATGGAGACCCAGAGAGGGCAAGTGACCAAAGGAGAGTCACACAGCAGGTGAAGCATAGCCACAAAGCAAGACTACTCTCTACAATCAGAGAATGTGGAGTCAGCCCCTCATTACTTTGGCCCAAAGCCAGATAAAAGGTGCTGCCCTTGTCCCACGCCCCTCAAGTACCTACCAGACAGTCAACCTTGGTGACATGCCGGGCCAGTGTCCGGGCATCCACTTCTGTCAGCAGCTCCTTGACCTTTCGCAGGAGGCCCACCTCTAGTGGCCGGTTGTCCTTGGGGATCAGAAGTGACTGGAAGGCAGCTGGGTTGAAGGAAGATGTGACTTCTACAACAGGGACTGTGAAGGTCCTGCCCCAGTCTCCTTCCGGGGCCCCATTTTCTGACAGTTCCTTTAGCTTCTCTCCATAGCTCCGGGTCTGCCGACTGGAGGCTTCAGCTGCTGCCCACTCCCGGCTACCACGGCTGGGAGGTTGGAGCTGGCAGTAATGGCCAGAGTCCGGGTCGCTGTAACTGCTGAGCGATGGGGAGGGGGAGGCCTTGCAAAGGCTGTGGGAGGGGCTGGCATGAGGGCCCTTGTCCAACTCCCCAAGAAGCTTTGGGGCACTTCCAGGGCACAGCTGGGGCTCACTTGAGCGGCGGGCGACAGGGGAGGCAGGCAGTGCCGTGGCAGAGGGGGCTGTGGGGGCAGCATGGACACGGGTCACTGCAGAGAGAAAAGATGAGTATAGGTTACTAGGGCTCCCCATGAGTGAGCTCTCCCTCCCTGTCCAAAATAGCAAGCTCCCCCATACAGGGAATGTCACTACCTCCCCACCTAATGCAGAGACTAAGCCCAGAGAGCTGGCAGAGGAACCAGCCTCTAGTGAGACTCGAGTAATAACATGGCCCCCAAGTATGAGTGCCTAAGCCCCAAGAGTTCTAGAGCCTTCAAGGATCCACTGAGCTGCTTGAAGAAATTTCTGGTGATTCAGGAAACCTGAGCTTTGCTGGAGTTCATGGTCTCACATGATAATTTCTTGAATATACATTGCGGACAGAGAGTGGGGTGGAGCTCCCCGATTAAAACAAGCTTGGAAGGAGGAGTGGCATCCACTTCCGTAATAGCTTGCCTCCAGAAACCCTATGAGCCTGGAGAGAGGATGAGAGACACCCAAGTGTTGAGGACTCTCCTTCATAGGGTCGCTATGAGTCGCCTGGGACTCCATGGCACTTAACAACAACAACAACAACAATACATTGTTTATCAGAAGCTGGTTACAAGCTAGAGATGTCCTGGTTAACAGTCAACCATTATAAAAAACCAGAAGTGGCATTTATTGATCTCTTGCTATCTTCTTTCATATTAGGCCATCTAATCCTTTCAACATGCCTGTTAAGTAACTATTTTCATGAGCCTTTTTCTACTGATGAGAAAACTGAGACTGGGGAGGGCAGCCCAGGTTATGAAGACTGTAAACTGTGAAACTGGGATTTCAAACCAGTCAAACCTTGTTAGCCCTTCAGTTATCCTATTGGCCCCTTTTACTTAGAGGTTACACTTTCTGTCAGCTATTTTTAATGTCACGGATGTTTTGAAGGCATGTCTGTAGTTCTGACCAGGTAATGTTTCAACAGAAAAGCTCTCTGGACAAAGGTTCCTCCTAGAATTGTCCTCATCTTATGACACTGCTGGCCGTGTGGGCAATTATGGCTGTTTGAAAACTTGTTCACCCCTAGAAATGAGCTAGTGGTATATTTTGACAATAGAAACTTTCCTTAAATTTAAAAAATATCATAGCCAGACTAATTTGATTTAAGCCAATTATTTGGGAAACATGGGCTAAAGTCATGGAGTCCCAGCCAGTACAGGGCCTAGCAGAGAACCTGTACTCAGTAAGAGCTCAGCCAATGGGGGCTGAGAATTGTTTCATGGGTGGCATTCACAGATGAGGCACAGCACCACTACACAGGGCCTCTATATCCTTCACTGCATTCTGGAGAACTCCTTCATGGACTGTGCCTAGTTTCTAAGAAAGATTTAACAAATCATTATTGAACAAACCATGGGAATATTTATAGGTATACATCAATAGTTCCACCAGAAGAGTTTTAATGTTAACTCTTGCAGGGCACTGTAAAGTTACATCATGAGAGAGGCAAAATCACAAATAATTGTACACCAACTAACAGAAGTCATCAACGATAGCACAAACACATGTACATTATCAGTCCACCTGAATGCCCCCACCAGGCCCCTCCCCGATACTTGGGCCATACCGGTGCTGTAGGCAGGGGAGCTGGGGCTCTCAGAGATGGGGGACATAGGCGAGTGGAGATCTGGGATCTGGTCCATGCTGAGGGCACAGTTGCGGATGGATTCCCGGGGGTGGGGCAATGAGGTGCTGAGGAGCAGAGCAGACACCATCATGAGCAGGGTGCCCAGGAAGACCCAGCCCAAGGGACTCCCAACCTCTCCCTCCATCTTCAATCCCTTAAACTTCCAAGCCATGAAGGAGGGAGTTATCAAGCCTTACCTTCCAACTGACAAATAAGAAACCCTGAAACTCAGAGGGTAAAAGTTTAACTGAGGCGAAAGGGCATGTCTGGAGCAGAGGTGGAACCTGAGCCTCAGCTTCCTAGCAGGACTCAGGTCAGCTTGTTCCGGCCTCTGGTTTTACTAGCTTGGTGTCTGTTTAGTGCTTCCAATGTATCCTGCTCTCTTTCTCCACCCGTATCCAGGATTTTCCTCTGACAGGCCTAAGGACAGGCTACAGGTACCCAGCTGAGCTGAGGTTTCTCAGACTCCTCTGTGTTCCTCTTGCTCTTATGAGGAGAAGAGGTACATGGTGGGGTATGTGATACTTTTGTGTAAACTAGTAAGTTTCATTAATCCTTTGGTGACCCCCCTTGTAAGCAGTGAGCTACATTTCAGCTTCCTTCTCTCTAGGCCAGAGCTCTTTGTGCAGTCCATAATTTGAACAGCTCATGGAGAGCCATCTGAGGTTAGGGAATAACCAGTGGTTGAGAAACCTACAGGAACCCGGCTGGCCAGCCTGGTACCTCCTTGCTGCTTTTGTACCATGTGTAGGGTCTCTTGGGCTCACACAGTTGTGGCTCCCAGCATCTTTACACCCACTGGCTCCAAACCACAGCTCAAGGCAGTGCCCAGCCGGAGCCTAGGGAGATGGGACTGTGGGAGCCCAGGCAGGTGCTGGTGGCACAGGTCACTGGATCTCTTTGCAAACAGCCAGGCAGGCCCATGACAGGTAGGGGCACAGACCACGGAGTCCGCAGATCTGACCAGGATTTGAATCTTGGTCTTATCACTCTGGAACTATGACCTTGCAGTCCCAGAGGGAAGTGGGAGTCAATAAGATCTGCCGCAGAAGGCACTCAAAACAGCACCAATCAGCGACTGTGGTTTTTCCTAGGATCTTTGGTTTGGCTCTGCAACTGGTAGTTTTTAAAATTTTGCTGAGCACATTCCATTCCCTGTGCAATGTTTCTGTACTACAAAGCCCCCCTTCTGATGCCTATCCTGACCTGGCTGGGTGGAGTGGAGAAGGTAGGTGGCAGTGGGTGTCAGGGCCCAGGGCCTAGGCACCAGGACAACAGAGCAGCCAGAGCTCCTCGTAAGTCAGAGAGGGCTGCTTTAGTGAGAGCCCTATAGAGGGGAGAATGTGAAGGCCAGAGAGAAGAAATGAGAAAGCTATGAACCCTCCATGTAATACTTTTTGACCTTCCTTCCTCCTGTTCATTCCTGAATAGAAACTCCAGAATAACCCCACCCTGTTCAGTGAGAACTGGACCTCTCCATTCTCACCTTGTTACTGACTCCCTTATTTGATCAGGGGAAAAACAAAGCCTGACATGGGGTCTGGCTCACCTGGTGGGGCAGCTATCTCCTCGAGTGAGTTTGTCAGAGCTTAGACCATCAGTCATGGTCATGCTGCGCCGCTTCATGTGACTGCCCTTGGAGCATGAGGGGCTGGCGGGGCTGGTTGCCTTGCCATTGCCCTGGCTCAGGCCGTAGGTGGCCTCAAGGTAGCGTAGTGGAAAGGTCCGGTTGACAGGGCAATAGATGATGGCACCACTCTGTTCAGACACAGCCTTGCGGCTGCCCACATGATAACGCACAAGTGCAGGCACATGATCGAAGCTCTCCTGCTCAAACAGGTACTGGATGTGGGTGTAACTCTCACCCGCCTTCACCACCACCTTGTTGATCTTGAAGTGCAAGGCCTGGTTGCGCCAGCGGCACGTGAGCACATAATCACCCAAGCTGGTGAGTGAGTCCCGGATGAGGAAGTCACCATTTCGCTGCACCAGAGTCTCTGAGACCTATAGGGGAGAGGTAGAAGGAGCAGGTGAGACTGAAGTAGAGCAGGGGCAGGGGACCTCAGAGACCTAAGCCTGGGAACAAAGGATCAGCCAGGGGAATAATTGTTGTTAAGTGCCATCAAGTTAACTATGACGCCTAGCAACCCTATGAATAAAAGATATGAACCCTGCCCTATCCTGTGCCATCCTCATCATCTTTGGTAAACTTGAGTCCTTGAATACAGTCACTGTGCCAATCCATCTTGTCTAAGGACACAGTAAACGGAGACATGTGAAGCTTGAGAAGGGTGTAATGGCTGAAATTTAGAGGCACCACAGTCCAGAGTCTAAGGGACAGGGGCTAAGGAATTTCTAAGAAATTAATTTCTAAGGAAATAGGAAGATATCACTACCTTGGAATGGAGCCCAGGAGAGTCTGGGGTCTCTCTGATCTGAAACTCAAGTCTTAGAACCTTAGACCCACTCCTCCTATTCGCCAGGACTCTGGCTATCTTGGGCTTTGCATCCTCCCGTTGTTCTTTCTGCCCAAGGAGCCCGTCTTGTCCCACCCACCTAGAAAATTCCTTTCTCTCTCTAAAAGGCTTGAGAGACTGAGGGGTTCTCTCCTCAACAGCCCTCTCCTCAGGCTCACCATGCTGGGCACTCCATTCTCAAATTTCAGCCCCTCACTTTCTGCCTTTTGTCCTGTCCTGTCCTAGACCATAAGACCTCTCAGGGAGCCACCACTTCTTGTCTTTCTGTGGCTTTGGTCCCCAACATAGCTCCTGGTGTAGACCTGGCACTTAATACAGATCAGCAGCTTGAATGAGAGAGGGAGCATGTGTGAGCCATGAACCCAAGTCCAACTCTGTGAAGTCACCTGAATCAAGAAACTCTACTTTGCCAAAACTGAGTAACCTAAGGACTGATTAGACCTACAAAAATGATGCAACATCTTCATCAATAACAGTACAGAAGCCAAAAATCATTTGACCTCACTCTGTGTCAGGCATCATGTTCCGCACGTGACATGCATTGTTTCATTTAATGCTCACAGCAAATCTTTGAGGCAAGGACTGTAAGTACGCCAATTTGACAGCTGAGGAAATAGAGCCTCAGAGAAGTGAAGTGCCTTATTCAAGGTCATATAGTATGCAAATGACAGAGATGGAACTCTTTGCAGTTCCCTTTGATTGAACCTGACAAGCAATTGCCCAGAGTCTTCTTGCTGAGTGGGACCAGGGAGGGGTGTGGCCATGGCAGTAGTTAGAAGGTTCTCTGTTGCACTGGAGGTCCAGTGAATACCACTATCATTCAAATATATGCACAAACAACCAGAGCCAAGGAAGAGGAGATAGAAGATTTTTACCAACTTTTACAATCGGAGATTGATCGAACATGCAAC